ACATTTTAGACCAATCTAAAAACCAGCATTCTGGCTCTATTGGTGCTAGCAAGTGCACTGAACTAACATCCACGTGATGACTAATATGTTGATCTAACATTTTGTGGATTGTGCAAACCCATAACAAACATGCTGCTATATTCTTGGCTACTTTGGCAACTAACAAATTACCTGCCAGCATTTTGGAGAGATTGCCTCTGATGTTTTGGACCCTTGACCTCACTAATCTGACCCTAAACCAGACCTCTTCTACTCGAACCATTTCAGGGAAGAGAACATCGTTGCCGCACAGGAGGTATTCCTCTGAGGTCGAACAGCGTCTGATCTGATTTCACGAAGTCTTTGAATACGAATACATTCCCATTGTGATCAAAATCAAACGGTGTGACATATCGAAATGCCTCGAAGATCGAATCAATTCGATTCCATCGGCTTTTTGTGATGGATACAGGTGAGCATTTACACATTCTTAGGACGGGTTTCTAACAGGAGAGTGCAGGACTAACTAATAACAAGTGTACATGCATGGTAATAGGGTGACCATATTTTTTTAGTCAAAACCGGGATGGCAATTTTTAGTTTTGCTAATCTGGGACGGGGGGAAAAATAGTTTTTTATATGAAACAATTTTTTAACTTCCCGTAGGGTAAGTTATTGTAATGAACCGAAAATCGGAATTGAAAATTTTTACATTTCTCGACGTTTTGAAGGTTTCTGAACATTTTGGCATACCTAAGAAAAAATGGATGTGTGTGTATGTGTGTATGCACGGATACCATTTTTCGTCCACGTTTTCGGGCGTACGGATCAACCGATTTGAATGGTTCAAAAAACATTCGATTCCTATAGATAAGGAGATGTGCTGATTAGGTTTTGGCAAAGGCAGGTCCAGCAGTTACGGAGATAAAGAGCAAAGAGTGCAGAAAATAGCAATCGAGTTTTTGAGAGAACGAAGCATCCGATTTGAATGATCTAAAAAACATTCAATTAGTAATGATTGGGAGAAGTGGTTATTAGTTTTTCGCATAGGCAGGCCCAGCCATTTCGAAGATACGAAGCTAAATGTACAAAAAATGGCAGTTTTTGAGAGAACTAAGCGTCCGATTTAATTGATTCAAAGAACTTTCTGCTTGTCTTAACAAAATAATTGATTTTGGAAAAAAAAATTTGTTTCAACTTTCTTTTTTTCTAAATTTTTTGTATATCGAAAATAATTCAGATTTAATTTTAATTCTGACTATAGTTCTAATATACTTTATAAATAATTTCAACTTTGCAATTCAGTTTATATAATTATAATAATCTATTTGGAAACATTCAGTATTCCTCGAATATTTCGTTACGGTACGGGAAATTCCAGCAATTTGCCTTAAGGCACGATGCCACCCACCCCACTAGTTAGTATAAATAAAGTTGATTGATAATCAAATTTACCTAAAAAAACTTTCACCTTTCGATTCCAATGGTTTTGAACTTTTTGTTCTTATAATATAAGACTAAACTAGAGAAATTGCAAGAACTTTTCGTACCGATATTTAATATTTTTAACAGAGAATATTTTACTTTTTTTATTGGACCTGCCCAAAAATTTAATCACTTCTTCCTTCAGTAAATTAATGTAAAATGTTTCTTGAATCATTTAAACCAGATACTCCGTTGACTCAAAAACTAAATTGACATTTCTTGCACTTTTGACCTGCCTTTGTCAAAAAACTAACCAGCAAACTAAATATTTGTATAGAAGAAAGAATATTTATAAATTAAATCTATATAACATTCGCAATTCTTATACGATAACTCCTAATATCATAAATTTCTTTTTGCGTATGTGTATCGCCTATTCCTAAACCATACCTAAACATTACACTTTACGTCGTTATACGCCTAATAACTACTATATCGTACGCTCTACTTCCACAACACCGTATACGCTAAATCCTTACACTTATATCTAAACCGCCTAACATTTATTATCTTACGCCTACAATTTCGCTTACATACTATTTTCAATCTTACCGGGAATCGAACCCCGGTCCGCCGCGTGACAGGCTACGACCTTGACCACTCGACTACCGTAACGCTACAATCAACCGTCTTTTTTCGTGTGTTGTCGCGTCACCTCAGTATTAGTTACTCAATTAATTAGAAAATGCTCAATTAACTAGAAAATGAACCAAAGCAACAACAGTGTGTTCCATAATATATTTTCAGTGGGGGGACCCGATAGAGTAGTGGTTAAGATGCGTGACTGTCACGCAGAGGAACCGGGTTCAATCCCCGGTATAGGCAATAGATAGGTAGAGACAAATACATAGGGCGTAAGGTAGAAATATAACACATTAATATTAAATAGGTATTAAATACATATATATACACACACACACATATATATATATATATATATATATATATATAATAAGTTAATTAACAAATAATAATTTAGCTGTAATAGATTATTTGTATGGATAGAGAAATTGATGGCATAGGTATCTCACGGTATAATAGATAATAGTTAAATTATCTATGATATATAATAGTATAGTATAATATAATAGTAAGATTATCATATCCCAAATTTAGTCGTTATAAATAAGCGTAGGTATTCATAAAATTAATATCAAAATCAATTTATGTTATTAGTGGATATAAATTATGTACTCAATGACTTCTCGTAGGGCAAGTTGTAGTAATTGCAAAAAAATCGAAAATGAAAGTTTTTATAGAGCTTTACGTTTCAAAGGTTTCTGAACATTTTGGCATACCTTAGAAAAAATTAAGGTAATCAAAACTTATTTATAATAGAATTATGTACCAAAACCTGCCGCATAAAAGACTAATGTTATAGCAAGGCTATCTTATGAAGAACGTTTTAAATATTGACAAAAGCCATGTGGTTTCTGTGCAGTCAGGAGTTTATCTCAGGTTGTCGGATAGAAAACCTAACCTAGAAACCGTACAAATGTCAAAAAAACGATGTTAGATAACAGGGTCTTTCTGACCCAGCTTCATAACATACGAGTGACATTGCAGTTTATGTGTGCAAAACGCCTGAATGCACAGCAAATACATAACATTTTGACAGTATTCAGTGTGAATCAGTATGACGATAACATTGGTCTCTTGTGCCCATTAGTCTTCTTCCAAGTATTTAGGAAGTCAGATTTGTGAACGATTCCTAAGGATCGTCTTATTTTATTATCGTAGAACAAGATTTTTTATTGAATTTATTATATTTTTTCAGTTGTCATATAGATACATGACATTAATTTTTTATTAGAGAAGTCGACCAAAAGTACATTTTGCATGTACTTCACACAGATTTGAAGCCGGCACTCTGCATTTATTCAATATTGTATCGATATTCAAAGAATTGAAGTTTAATTGAAGCCTGCCAAAATATTAATAAAAAATTGAAAAAAAAGTAATTAATTAATCTGCACCAAAATGTGTGTAACATACAAACCTATATATGCATATATACTTTTATGTACCAAATAAGTATGTCTTAGTAAACATTTGTATGTATATGTTCACGAAGATATTTCATCATATAGTGAAAAATACTTTTATGATTTTTTTTTGTTTGAAATATTTTTTGAAAAACTTCTTCCATATTACACGTATGGCATGCACTTGTACCTATAGTAGTAGACTCTTGTCTCATTGAAATGCCTTTGTCAAAATCAGGTCACGTATTTTGTTAGAAGTATTCATCAAAGTTTTATGAATAGGCTCCTAAAGTTCGAACTATATACCAAAAATCTATGTTTTGTTAAGAAGTTCTATCGATATTATATCAATCGAGCGTCATTCATAGAATTTTGTAGTGAATTTTGTATCATGAAATTTATACACGAATATTAGAATGCATATTTGTAATAGTATTTATAGATTTTTAGCGTTTGCATGTGGTACTAATCTTTTTAAATTCCCAGGAAAGAAGAGATCGCATTATACATATTTAATATCATTATTTTTAACCAACATTCCTAAAGGTATTTTTTTAATGGTAGTATTAGCAATCAGAGTATATTTTAGAAGACAGGTTAAATTTCTGTTATTTATCTTTTTAAATTTATTAGCTACCGTCAACCAGCACCATAAACCTAGTGTATTTGCATGAGTTCCTTAAAAATACTTATGAACCTAATTTTACCTTTGGATTTACCTTACCTATTAATTACCTTACCTATTTTATTAATATTTCTAGTTCTCTTATATAAAGTACTAGTTCCTAGGCTCAAAATAATTGGTATCTTAAGGTTTGGTATTGGTACTGGTACCAAAGTTTTTATTCTACTAAAACAAGGATGAACAACCTTTATTAGACCAATTTCGTTGGGTATTCTATATACTTATTGTAACATTAACAATTTTCGTATCATGGTATTACTGTCTATCATTAAAAACAAATACTAAGTTTGTTTAAATATAACTCTAATGATATATTAACTTGGTTCGCGCCAGAAATAAAATTCCAGGCTACATATAGCCAATTTTATTTATATGGTACCAAAAATATTCTGAAGCAAATATAACGTTGTTGTATCTTACTGATTGTCTCAGTTCTCTTAAATAAAAATATAACACTCTCAAAAATATGGTCATCATAATCATTTAAAAATATTTAATATTCAGAAAATGGTATTTGCACGATTTGAAATAAGAATTGTGCATGCATTGTTTGGAACAAGTTAGTTGTTTTCTATGAGACCTAAAGTGACGCGTTTGAAATCTATGCCAACGTCCCTTAGGTAAATTTTAATCGTTTCTGGTTAGATCAAAATATATCAGATCATATCTGCCATAAATATCTTCTTGCTTCTGAAACACGTGTTTTTGAACGAGTTGAGGCTATTAGGCAAATATTTTCATTACTTATTTTTTAAAATGCAGATTTTGCAGTTATAGCAGTCTAATTATGGTTTTAGATGTCAATACTTTATTATATTTATCATTTCGTCTAGGATTACAAGGAATTCATTGACGCGGAGAATTTGATGCCGACCAGCACGTCAGACTTCCGAAATCCAGTATGTATAGAGATGAAGGCGATCCGTTTAGCTGGTGCTCATCTCAGAGAACGGGAACGAGAACGGGAACGGGAGCGGGAACGTGAAAAAGAGCGGGAACGCGAACGAGAAAAAGAAATTATTCCAACTGTAGCTCCTCCAAGGGCCAATGGAGATTTGGGCAGTGTTGATAGTTCCGATACATATGCCAGCTGCGATACACATCCATTTTTATCTCAGGGTGATTTGCTGGAGGTAAGGTTGGATAGTAAATTGAAAAAAATGATTTGGTTTTCTCAAAAACATATCAAGTTCCGAATCAGTGAGTTGGATGGTGTTTTTTTTTATGTTTCCTATTTCTAGGGTGAGGTTGATTCAAATTTATACGTCAATCCGCTCGATAAGGGTGCAGCACTTGTGAAAAAGAGCGCCTCTGGTGACTGTGGTCAGTTGAGAAGTTTAGGTGCGAGCCCCATGGACGAAGCTTTCAAGGACTTCGCCACTGTGGACAGCGCAAGTCGTATTAGTTTAAATGAATCTAACCTGCCTAAACATAGAAAGAAAAGATTCCAACAAGTAAGTAGTTAGAGAGTTGTTATCATCATATAATAAAATAGTGCTGTCAGAATGTATTGTAATTGTCACTATATTTTATTTTTACAGTTGAATCGTCCCCAAACCACTCTCGCCGAAAGAGATGCTTCCCAGGATAGTCTCGACAGAAGGCTTGGAGGACGCAGGACGTCTTTCATGCCAGGAAGATCCATAGCTTCCGTCACTAGGATTATTAACCAGCATCTGTTTGGGCTTCAAAGTTCTCCTAAAGGTGAAGCAATATTTTTGATTGGCTTATTGAAGGAACCATATCAAGTCCTCTTTTATTGGCTACTTAATTTTCATTCGCATTATAAGATTGATATAAAAAACAGTATTTATTGAATTGTAAATGTTCTAGTTTGTATATTTCCTGGTTAACTTTGTTAGCATGAATGGTAAATGTAAACTTGGTGTGGCTATTTTATAGCATAAAACTAATTAACAATATCAAGTTCAAAATTACATTTTTTTTTCAATCAAGTTTAATGAAAACTATACACCTGCAATAGTTAATGCTACACAATTAATGATTGAAATATTGAATTAAAACTTAAAATACAATTTTTGAATCATGTGCGTAGTTGTCCGAGTAGATACAAAGAGATTTCAACATCTGATCATAGACTTTTTATATATACTTCAATATAGTTATTAAATTAATTTTTCAATTACGAATATAACTATTTAGTTGAGTAAGCAAATGTTCATAATTATAAGTCCGGACTATTTTATGAAACAGAAATATATAAAAATTAAATAGTTATTAATATTTTGACTCAAATATAAGATTGTATTAGCAATAATATAATTCTGACGGTTTTCTTACTACTGCTATAATATACTACCCTACTTACCCGTAGGGCACGTTATAGTAATCGCAAAAAAATCGAAAATGAAAATTTTTATATATCTTTACGTTTCAAAGGTTTCTGAATATTTTGGCATACCTTAGAAAAAATGGATGTATGTGTTTGTGTTTGTGTGTGTGTATGTGCGTGTTGTGTATGTGTGTGTGTGCGGATACAAATTTTCGTCGACGATTTCGGGAACACCGATCAACCGATTTGAATAAATCAAAAAACATTTGATTCGTATTGATAACAAGACGTGCTGATTAGTTTTTGGCAAAGGCAGGTATAGCCGTTCCGAAGATACGGGGCAAAAAGTGCAAAAAATGGTAACTCAATTTTTAAGAGAACGGAGCGTCCGATTTTAATATTTCAAAAAACATTTTACTTGTATTGACAAGATGAAGGATTGATCAAATTTTCATGAAGGCAGGTCTAGCGGTTTTGGAGATCTAATAAAAAAAGTAAAAAAAATGTCATTTGGCGGTCAAAAATGATCATTAGACATATGCACATCAAATTATCAGATATTTTATAGAGATTTTAACAATAAGTATAAATTTTGTTTACATTCCTATGGGTTCCGTACCAATGTTTACCCGTTAGAGAGCGACGCGGCGCTTACGCGCTTTATATTTTGTCTCTATGCAGTTAAAGCAATACGATTGCTTTGAAAAATCTAATTTTTTCGAAGTAAAATTTTTTCAAAAATGTTAATCATTTTTAAAAAAATGATAATTATTGGTACGGTAAGTTCCAGCAATTTGCCTTAAGGCACGATGCCATGCGCCCCACTAGTTTACATTTTATTATACTAATTGATTGTATATTTAACCAAACGTTCGATTATTATGAACTGCCTGAAACCAAGCAATTTCAATTTACAGACAGTTTCGAACGTCAGGTTAAATTAAGTCAACAAACTTAAGATTGACTGCTGACAATATTTTCGTGTACCTTCTGCCCACATGACCATATCCTGCTGACCATATTTTTAATTCCCACTGCCCACATGACCATATCCTGCTGACCATATTTTTGGTCCTTTTACCCATATGCCCCTATTCCGCTCACCATCTTTTTGGGTTCAATTTCAATTTTCAGACGATTTCGAACGTCAGGTTAAATTAAGTCAATAGACTTAAGGTTGATTACTGATTATATTTTTAGGTTCCTTTTACTCACATGACCATAACTTGCTGATAATATTTTTGGCTTTCTTCTGACCATTTGACCATACCCTGCTGACCACAATGTGGTTTTATGTGATGTTTAATAATAATCACATAATAAACTTATGTGATTATTTTATATTAGGAGTAAACAAGTACTAGGCGGGTAAAAAGGTAAAAATATGAAGACAACATATTTACTTCATGAGTAAATTTAGTCAAGCTTCCACAACACTCCGATCGAGCTGGTCGGCAGTCAACCTGTTAATTTAAGGAAAAAAACATTCATATTTCTACTTTTTAGGAAAGAATGGCAGTAAATCCTCTCTCTCCATCGATTCTGCTGACGGTGGTTCTCCGCAGCTTGAATCTCACAGGCGATCCAAATCAATACTCAAGAACAAGGCGGAACAGGCCGCCCATCGACATTGCGGCGTCGGCGGACCTGGTGGGGTGGATCCGGAAAGCGAGCGCCTGTTAGCCGCGGATACGCATTCTTCGGCTACCATTGTTGGTTCTTCAGAAGCAGCGGTAATGATTATATGATATTATCACATTTATATACATAATATAATACAGTAGAAGTCTTTTAGTCCATTCAATTATATGTAATGAATTTTAAATCATTACAAATTAAAATGTTTTTTTCCATTTAGGAACGTTTTTTGTCGGCATCTCCAAAACCTCTTCCACGTCAGAGAGTTTTTTTACAGCAACGATCTAATCCTGGTCTCCTGGACGACAGAAGACTTAAGGAAGTAACAGGTGATTATGTAATTACTAGCGTTTATACAAAAACCAACATTTCAGAAAACCGTTTTTTGAATTTTAATTTTACTAAAAACCCGGTTTTAACCGGTTTTCGAATTTTATATATAAAATAAATTTTTGCTCGAATATTGTGTAATTTATCCGCAAATTTAGTGTAATTTAGAGCAGTCTTTGACTGAATTTATTCATTGTTCAATTTTATAGATAGTAAACAAAATTATTTTAATTTTGATTAGTAGGACTAAAAAATAATAGTTTATCTTGATTAAATAGCTTTGAAAATAATTATTCGTTATTCATGCATCATTTTCACATATAAGAAAGAAAATAGTTTTAACCCTCCGTCGGTCGGCGTGGTCTGGCCACACTTTTTTCGACTTCAATTAAAAAAAAAAATACTTTTAGTAATCGTTTCGACTTGAAATTTCTTGACTTTTCCTAAAATTTCATTAGCTGTCGATCAATGAAAAAATCAGGACGAAAAAATGTACAGAAGGATAATTATAAGGATATTAACTTTTTTATACTTCGAACGGTCGGAAAGGTCTGTCTAGACCACCCATACATTTTGTATGAAATATACGCTTTTTGATATATGTAAACCAGTATTTTGTCTTTTTTCATGGTATTTTCTATTCAAACTGCGTTGTTTATATTCTTTGCTATGTATTCTAACATGAATGTTAGTATTTTCATGACGAGAGTTCCTTGAAAACCTACCAAACTTATTGGTAATCGCAAACACTGAAAATCGGATTGGTAATGCACACATTCATTTCAAAGGTGCCGAAAAAGAATAAATATTGTTTTTCATTGATTTAAAATAGAAAAATTAACAAAAAAGCAACGATTTTATTATATTTCTTGATTTTTTTATATAATCGTTAATACATAAGACATCAAAAACTCATTTATCCCATATAAATGCATGTAAAATGAATGGTGGTCTAGCCAGAACTTTCCGACCGTTCGAAGGTGAAAAAATATCCGACCGACTGAGGGTTAAATAATACATTTTTGATTAAAAAATGCATAAATTTAAAAAAAAAATTAGATACATACTTGTTAATATCAATTTTAGTTTTAAAAATAATTAAGTTAAACTCGGGTATTGTCTGTTCCGAGCAATTTTAATTAATTAATTTTAAACATTCTAATTGTTTTTTTGTTGATTCTAATTGTTTAATAAAATATGATTCCAAAAAACTGAGAACGTGTATCAAATTGCTACTTACAACATGGCCTTTATAATTTCGAACAAAATTTTCTGAAATAGAAAATACTCTCATACTGGCGACCACATTATGCTTCATTGTTTTTAAAGCCTGACATATTTATTCTAAGTTTTTTGTTCTTTAATTTGTGGCTTCTAGAGTTTAAAACTCTTTTTTTTTAGTTTGAGTAGAGGAAGTTACTTCTTCTAGAAGAAATCACGCTGATTTAAATTAATATATACACTAGTATAAAAATCTAAATTAATATATACAAAACCTTTCTGGGAACCATTGTAGACTGATAAGATATTAAATGCTATTGAACCGATATGATTTCAAGTATCAAAACGCTTTCATCTATCTTTTAAATTTGGCTATATTTGTCATTTTCCATTTATACAGTAAAAACTGACTTTTCACTAAAAACCGGTTTTTACACTTCAATATTCACTGTATATGATATTTTCTTATATAATATTTAGTATAAAATAAGAATATCAAACTGTTATATTTCATCTCTGGTTCATTTCTTTAGCTATTCGGTTCATCATTCAATTCATCAAAAAATCTCTTAATTAACTTCAAATTAATTTCTGCCAGTTAAATATTGAACTTTGGGGTTGTCGTATTGTTGGAATCAATTTAAATGAAAATTTTTAAATTCACTTTACGGATTATCTGGTTATAGGTTCAACCCTTCCTGGACATGATCAATCTGAAGAATCAAAATTGTTAAGACGCACATACAGCAGCGGCGCACGGGATCGACCCGCTCCCTCATAGCGGTAAGGTCAGCTTTATACTCATTTCACAGTCTATAAATCATAAATTTTCAACTTTCTGAAGCAGAAGTTTATTGTAACCAGAAAATTCGATTTTCTCATTTTTTGGTTTTCTTCTACGTTGAAAGTGATTCTGAAACGTTTTAGACCAAATTTGGAAAAAATATATATACAATGAGATGTATTTATGAGAGCCAATATTTTGATTTATCGTCGACTTTTTTTGCATGTATGTATGAGAGCCAATATTTTGATTTATCGTCGACCTTTTTTTCATTCGACGTAGCTCGATAAAGACTTGTGACTTGTTTGACGTGAAATTGAGGTATTGTGAATGTTCATACTTATTTTACAGTCACTAAATTATAAATTTTTAACATTCTGAAGAAGGCTGCTCGAATCAATTTGTGAAAGAACAGCCTATTTTTTTTATTCTTCAATATCATTTATTGGGAATCGAGCTGATTAGTTCCTGGAAATAATTGGTCGACTCGTTTCTTCGTAATTAAATGTTAATTTTTGTTTGTTTTTTTTAAGAAACTCAAAATAGCGATAGAGTTCATGACCCAAGCAAACAACGTAAAATATTAGAGATAGAGGCCTACGAAAAGTGGTTCAAATATAAGAATTCATTATTGTTTGGAATAAAGGCTGAGCTTTTTGGACATACAAGCTCGTGTTTGTTTACTATAGTTAATTTATTAACTGATATTATGTTTATGTTTGTTGTGCAATTTTGATCGAAATATTTTATATCGATTGGTAACCGTATTGATTAGTTTTTAGTATAAGCGAAAACTTTGTTTTCGAATTTTCGAAATGAACATTTGGAAATTGTATCTAAATAGCTGAGTTTCAAAATATTGATCGATTATTTACTGGCTAGTTATAATAATAATAAGTTATAATTAAATAATAATAGTTAAACTATTAACAACGAATATTAATAATCTTACTTACTTATTAATAATTTAAATAAATAATCATTTTCGTTTTCACAGATATTTTTACCTTACAGGTACATGATTGTGACCTGCATCTCTAGAAGATAAGCGAGTCAAACTTTCGTAAGGAGATTATATTACATGTTGAAAAAAAACAAAATGTACTTATCAAAAATATCAATGTTATTTAAAAAATATGTTATATTATTGTTGAGAACAAAAAACTGCAACGGTTTCATAAAACGTGTTAAAACGTTCAAAAAACTATTGTGAATTACTTTACAAAATCAACTCGACGTCTAAGACATCGTATTTAAATGTTAGAAGCAATGTTTGTATATCACATATTCTCGGCGGTAACCGTATTAGATTGTATTTCTTAACAAAAAACCAAAAGCTTAACGTATATTCACTAGTAGAAAAGTATCTATTTGATGTCTCGTAAATTTGTAAATCTGTTGCTAAAGCGACTCGATAATTTGATGTGTTAAACCGTTTGTGCTGTTTATATAAATATATATAATATAAATATATATAATAGTGATATTAATTTATAAATCGAGTGAAAGACTGTTAACATTTAAAATCTGTGTCTCTGTGTAAGTGCTTATTAAATTATAAAAATTAGAGCGTTGTTAGTGCGACACTTGTTGGTCACTGTTACAAGACTATTTAAAAAATAAAATTTCATAAAACATTTTATCCAAGAAACAAAACTCGTCGAATAGTGTTCATGATTTCCAGAATGGGCAGATTTCATATCCGCTACCTGGGTTCGACAACACCTCGTTTATATTTAATTATTTTTGTAGTTCATAAAAAAAATAATACTTAAGATATATAAATATATCGGATATAAAGCAATATTACATGTTCATAACACATTTCCATGAACTGTTGCACATGTTGTGTATATGATTTTAAGACACTGTTAAAGTTTAAAATTAGGATTAAGTAAAAGTTATTACATACTGGGTCAGGCAATGAATGAGATCGTTTGCATAATCAAGATCGACTTTTATATACATACTATTAACTAATAATTTTACACATCAGGACGACAAATATATCATTTCAGCCATGCATGGAATTATTAACCTTTTTGTGCTTTTGTTATAAGAGAGTTTTCCGCAGAAGTGATACTCCTGTACAAAGTGTTGGATTTACAATAGGAGCAAACGAGGCTAGTAGCGGCAAATTTTCTGGGGCGGCAAAAAGTGAGAAAAAAATTCTATATAATATAATTAACTAATTTTTCCTAACATTTTTATTTCAAAAAATATAATTAAGAAAGCATAATACGATTATGATGCAACATTTGGGTTCAAATAACCGATTATTAAAGTTCATCATTTTTTATAAAATTTGGGGGTTTAGGGTTTAGAGTTTTATGCTAAATAACTTAAATATTATTAACTTCCCGTGGGGTAAGTTATTGTAATGGGCCGAAAATCGAAATTGAAAATTTTTACATTTCTCGACGTTTTGAAGGTTTCTGAACATATTGACATACCTCAGAAAAAATGGATGTGTGTGTGTGTTGTGTGTGTATATGTATGTATGAATACAAATTTCCGGTCACGTTTTCGGACGCACGGATCAACTGATTTGAATGGTTCAAAAAACATTCGATTCCTATTGATAGGGAGATGAGCTGATTAGTTTTTGGCAAAGGCAGGTCCAGCAGTTACGGAGATAAAGAGCACAGAGTGCAGAAAATAGAAATCGAGTTTTTGAGAGAACGGAGCATCCGATTTGAATGATCTAAAAAACATTCAATTAGTAATGATTGGGAGAAGGGTTTATTAGTTTTTGGCAAAGGCAGGCCCAGCCATTTCGAAGATACGGAGCTAAATGTGTAAAAAATGGCAGTTTTTGAGAGAACTAAGCGTCCGATTTAAATGATTCAAAGAACTGTCTGCTTGTCTTAACAAAATAATTGATTTTGGAAAAAAAATTGTTTGAACTAATATAGTTCTAATATACTTCAAACAAATAATTTCAACTTTGCAATTCAGTTTATATAATTCCTATAAATATTAGACAATGTTACAATATTAATAATAATCTATTTGAAAACATTCAGTATTCCTCGCACATTTCGTTACGGTACGGGAAGTTCCAGCAATTTGCCTTAAGGCCCACTAGTTTTGAATAATAGGTTTTAGAATGTTAATAATATGTTTTAGAATGTCCTTGCTCCCAGAGGCTTAAATGCTTCCAAATTGATAAAAGAAATCTCTGAAAGTTTTAGCTCTTAATATTAAATTCAAGATAGTCCACAATCCAACCAAAGTTTCTTGGTTCTTCCTTCTTAAGTAAATATTTTACTTATTTTATGAAACATATCAAATTTTTTATGTATTTTTTTTTTGTTATGTTTAAAATAAGCAAATACAATGTTATTCTCAAAATTTTGATTCACTTGTCGCTAATTTATAAACAAATGGAATTTTACTCATATATGTTATTTCCATAGGAACTTTGGTTGGAGTGCGAACTATCTTAACGTTAACATTAAAAGCTAAAACTTACAGAGAACTTTTTTTAATCAATTTGGAATCATTCGAGCCCCTGGGAGCAAGAAATTTAGAAAATATCCATATAAATGACCACCCTAATAGTGTTAGTTAGTTTTTGGTGAAGATCGGTCGAATCGTTTCTTTGTAATTAGGTAATTGTTAAAAAAAATATGTCGATTTTAATGAAACCTTTTTGGCGACAGATTCTGTTCTTAATCAACATGCTAAAATATTAGAGGCCTACGATAAGTGGTTTAATTATGAAAATTAATTAATGTTTGGCTGCGCTTTTAGAACATACTCCGAGTATATATTAGACGTCTTTTTCAATTATATATAATATTTAAACCGTTTGTCGAAAATAACTAAGATGTTTGAAAAAATCGTACTATAAATTGAATAATCTGCAATAGTTTCTTGCATTATAATGTTCTTTTACAGCAATGTAGTATTCATAAATAAATCATAAATGAATATATTGATTTCTTACTGATTAAGTCGATTATTCACAAAGTACATGCAACCTAAGGTAAAATGCCACTTATACCTAGTTAGATTTGTATACGATCATTCATTGCTTGGCCTATCACGAGTGTGGCATGAAATATATAGTGGATGTAATTCGTATATGAAACAGTTAAGAGAATTATTAATTATTACTTATTTAATTGCTTATTTGTCTGTGATTTTTATTTATTAAACTTAATTTGTGAATATCTATGATAATACATATAAATGATAACTGATGTATGTATATATGTATATATGTTTCTTATGTATAACTATAACGTCTCTTAAAAGCTATTTATTATAATATAAAATTTCACTATCAACACGTCACATTTTAATTACAAAGATTTTGTTTGTACTAAAATTAAAAGTTTCACTTTTACGTCCATTTTTGTAATTATTTGATATGAAAATGCAGAAATCTATCTACTGTTCTACAAAAATTGTTTTTATATTGTTTTTTTTTCTGGGCTATTATTTTCATGATAACTTGAGAGAAAATCGATAAAACAAATTAATAAATCTTTAGCTAAAAACTAATTTTTATTAAAATATTTTTAATAGCCATACAACTGAAATCAAAATTCACTATATTCAAGAATTTATGACTGAAATATATTATGTCAATTTCTTGAAAAACAAATTTCTAGTGAGTGCTGAAAGCGGGGGCATGTTCGATTAATTATTACATTTGTAATTTGGTTATTTCTATATGTCCGAGTACAATATTAAGAAAATATTGTTAAAATATATAACTAAAATCCTGTAAATCTGTATCATCTATATCTTTGAAAAATCTTTAAAGCATCTCTTAATTGAGACTTTCTCATCATTTGTTTTAAAAGTCATAAGTTACTAGAACAGATTAATATTTATATATATATATATATATATATATATATATATTTATATATATATTTATATATATGTGTATATATATAAATCTGTTCTAGTAGCTTATGATTTATATATATATATATATATATATATATATATATATATATATATATATATATATAGCAATGAAGGCCTATTTTATAGCTCGAGTCATAAGTTTTATAAAAATAATTTGAACGCATAATTGCTATTTACAATTGTTATTAAAAAGATTTAAATCGAAACAAAACAAAACATAATACATTGGAATCTTTTTTCTTTCTTATTTTTATGTATTTAAATAATTTAAATTGTTACAAATATAGAAAATTGATTTTGAAAGATACCTTATCTAATTAAATTTATTGTTTTACTGCTAAATTTTTCAGATAACTACATCAAAAAATTAAATATTGAACTAACTAAAATAATTAATTCTTTTCGAAATACAATAATCTTAAAAATTGCTGTGATAGATATAAGTTTAAGTTTTCAATATAAGTTTACATTTGTTTTTTTGCGACTTATATCAATTTATTTGTTCTCTCCGGGTTACGTTTCACTGATCTTTTTTTTTTAATTATTAATATTTTAACTTTGATGATATAAGAGTATTTCAATCATTCATAAATTATGATCATAATTTATACTCTGATCAATATAATGAAAACCATAAATATTATAACAAAGAGGTCAAAACTTATATATTCATTTCACAGAATCGTAAACGTAATTGTAAATTTACAATATCATTTTATAAAACTTGTACTGTTTCATAAATACGTATTAAAATATTGTATTATATTACAATTTTTAAATAAATTGTGCAATATTATATCTTTCTTTAACTCAAGTTAAAGGACCGAGTATATATGGTCCCAGAGCCATGTACATATTTGACAAATTATTTAATCCAGAAAAAAATATAAAACACATTACAGTAATACCTGGTTTCATTTTAGATTAGGTTAGAAAATATAACCGAATCATAATGTAATGTTATTTTGTTTAGTTACAATAGTGATTAAAATTGCTGCTGAGAAAATAGTTGAAGCTAGATGAAGTGATATTTGCAAGTTCTAATTTTATTAGGTTCTTTGTAATATACTTATACAATTATTATTTGTATGTACAACAATATATATATATATATATATATATATATATATACAGGGCCGGTCCTACCTTGAATGCAATGCATGCAAAAATGCAGGCGCAAGCCTTAGGGGGCGCCAAAACGAGTTTCGGAAATTAAATTTATAATATATTATTTATATTTGTTATATAAAATCTAAAATCATTTATATAAAATCTATAATACTTAATAAATTATAACAAACAGTCTAACTTAACTAGGGATCCGGGACACAAAAAGCATATTTATTTTGCAATGTGATATCAGTAGAAACAATTAACCGGTTAATAACTCTGCAAATTAGTAAATAACAGCTATGTTCATTGCTTAATCTACTTATTCACTTTTTCCTTTGTTTGAAGTTACCGTGGAATCGAAAAAAAAATTATCTAGTGTTCAATCCCATAAGCTCAAATCTGCGAAAGATTAAATTAATCATTGGGAAAAATTGCGAGCTGATTTAGTTGAAACGAAACTTGTTAAAAAAATATAAACAAATTATAATCGGGACGATAAAAAATGGGGAGTCTGTGCTTAAAAAATGGCACGTTTATTCCGAGAAATTGAATTGTAACTTTTGCTTTTGTTGCAAATGTTTCGCATCTGATGAATTTTGAACGTTGAAGACACGCGTGGTTAGGGTTATACAAATATGAAAAATGGAAGCAAAATTTACTTTGGAACAAAAATCTTAAGGCTTTTTTTATACATAGCGCTGTCCATACTCTAAATTTAATAATTATTAACTATGCTGAAATAATACATATCAAATATAATAAGTTTTTGTTTCAATGTAGTTCAAGAATGTGCAATTTCTTTGCATTTTTTACTGATTTTTGGACAATACTTTTAAAATACGTTAAAAGTTTAACTTTAAAACAACAAACTGATACTCTGAATATGTCGGGAAAGCAAGAATAAATATTATTCGGCTCTTAAAATTAAAAAAATCCAACATGTAATACGAGTGTTATGATTAAAAATGAAAAGCTAGTTTTTTTGGCACTCTTGGCATGATTTGCTCAATAGAATAAAGCGCATAATAAATAAGTAAAATGTTTTAAAACCGAAATATTAAAATTGCACATACGTTAAAAATAATTGAAATATTAAAAATATTTGATTATAATCAACCCGCAAATCGCCTCGATTTTCTAAATAAATTTAAAATCAATATATTTTATACGCTTTTAGCTTATAACTAATTTTTTGTGTACTAAATCCAGAATAATTAAAAATAAATTTTCAAGAAATCTATAAATATTTATATAATTTTAATAAAAAACTGTTAAAACAGTTAATATTAATAAGGGGGGAGGGGGACGCTAGAAAAAAAGTTGCATGCGGGCGCTGAGAACCCCAGGACCGGCCCTGCTTATCACCATTATTATCTAATATAACTAATGTTTAATATCATAATCGAAGTTATTACCTATTTCATATTATTTAAATTGATTTAAACTTAGCAAAATACAAAAAGGTGTTAAAAAGCAGAGTTATATGGAACACAATGTAGAAAGACTTCTTTAAGTATACTAAAGTATTTTAAAGGTAAACTAAAGTATTTATTTAACTCTTATAGTTTATATATAGTTTAGCTTAACAGTTTTTAAGAGATTAAATTTCAAAACTATTACAAACTACTTACATGTTTTATATATGTCTCCTGAAAACGTAAAACTGTTCTTTGTTTGTTTGCACTAATATTAAATTTCACCACTATGTCATCATTTATATTCATATATGATTTTAATTTTAAATTTAAACATTTAAACAATTCACATGATTAATTATATTTAATCGTTAGTAGGTTTTTAAAGTTAAATCTGAACTGTCATTTTTTGACTTGATGAAAGAAAATGTTATCAGGCAACACCACTTTGAGCTTTTAAAATAAATTCACAAGCGGCAACACTCTTTGCCGTTGAAAAGTGACATTTACGCTCATTATTTAAAACCGCCATAGCTATGAAACAAATAAGGTTATTTTGTAATTTGAAGTAGACAAAAGTGTTTTGATGCCATTTTATTATTTGTGCCGCTTATAATAATTTTTATAGCAATGGTTTAGAAAGTTACTATGATCGTTTAACTCCTGCGGATTTATTTTTCAGTGGTAATAATTTTTAAGTTCATTGAATGACAGTTTGTCCTATGTACAAAATTTGTTACTTACATATTTGAATTTATTTATTAATATTTCTAATTGATAATGTAATGTAATTAATAATGTTATTTGAAGCATTTTATCATTTATAATTATGGCGGTACCAGAATTAATTTTTTATGATTTTTCAGTTTCAATATGACGTGCAAGTGGAAGCTAATTAGGCAATTTCATGAAGGGGAATATGAATTAACACTTGGAAAAAATGCAATAGGAAGAAATGTTAATTCAGAAGTTCGATGTTCAAGCCTTTTTGTATCAAGGACTCATTGCATCATAGAAGTATCTGAAGATTTAATCAAAATTATTGATAACAAGGTATATCTCAGCTTATTTAACATTCTCGATCCAATAACCAGTTTTATTTGTGCAAATATAATTCAAACATGGATGTTGAAACCTAGCATTCAACATCAAAATTAGTTTTCTTATATAAATCACTTTTCCTTTCTTGCAGAGTTCCAATGGCACATATGTTAATTACAATATGATACCAACAGATACTTATCACACATTATACGATAATGATATAATAGGATTAGGTGTAGCTGGTGACCAATCCCTTAGTGAAGAATTTTTTGTTTTTAAATTAATTAATAATATAAAATACTACAAAATAATATTCAAAGATCTGTAAAGAGATCTATTGGGGATGAATCCATAGATATTGATAACAAACGAATAAAAATTGAAAACGAAGCATCATTTGATGATGATGACAATGATAACATGCTGCTCAATTACACACAAAGTGATAATGACATTGTAGTAATTAGCGACGATGAAAGTTCAATGGTGCAAAAATTTGAAAAGTCTTTCAAATCAAGTGGGATAGTAGAAAATTTGGATCAACCAAATGATAGACTACTAATGGAGATTGATGAAGATCTGTCTGAGAGCAATAATGAAATTATTTGCCTTGACAGTGATAATGAAGATGATGACGTTGATAAGTGGATAAATAAACTTTCTCAAAATTTTTCCATGAAGGGCAACAAATCCTTGGTAAAAGATGACGATGATCACTTACCTGATTTGCAAATAGAACATGAGGATATCAAAGGATTACCTTTATCTCAAAATTTACTTAAATTGATAGAAGAAGATGCAAAATATGATATGAAAAATGAAGTAACTACTAGTGCAGGTGACCAGGAGAAAGAAAGATCTTGTAGATTTAGAGGAATATGACTTTATAGCAAATAGTGAAAGCAATGATCAGAATGCATTACCTGAACCACCAACTTCAAGCACTATAACCCCATCAAAAAAAACTTACATAAAGCCACCAATAATAGAATGCCCAGTAAACATGATTCCAAGACGAAAGAGTTCAACAGGTAAATGTAATATAGATTTAATATATATATATATATATATATATATATATAGTAGAACCTGGATTATCCGGACCTCGGTTATACGGATTTGCGATTATCCGGACTCCCAACTGCGACCAATTTATATGGATGTACATACCTACAATTTGAATTTTTGCACGATTTATGCTGCAGTTTAGTATATGTATGTAATATAATCTAAGAAAATATATATGTACATACATAAGGAAATGTTAATTTCTTATTAAACATTGATTTTGGTTGATATCTATATATGTATTTGCTATTTTTGATAAATACACATTAGTATTCTTCATACATTGGATCATCCGGATTTTCGATTATCCGGATGCCTAGCGACAACAATTAGTCCGGTTAATCGAGGTTCTACTGTATGTATATATTATATGTTGAGAGTTTTGTCGATGTTGAAATTTATATTTATGTATTTATATCTCTTTAAGATTCAAGTGATATTATATCAAATAATTTAAATTTTTAGGTTCCACTTTAGAGAACAAATCAAAGGAAAAGGCAATACAAAAAACTGTAAAGTCTGAAAAATCAAAGCCTATATCTAAATCTAAAAGAAATTCAGTCAAAAAGTTAAAAAGCATTGAAAAGGGAGAGAAAAAAATTATTGGACAAATAAGAAAAAATCGTTTGAAAGAATTAGCTGACAAAACTGCACCTCCAAAAGAATTCAATGATAGTCCAAAAATTGTATCTAAGCCAAAAGTTAAATTTACCGAAAATAATCGAGGAGCATTCCTTACAGATAATATTCCAGTAGTTCCATGTAATAAAAATGATTCAAAAACCAAAACTAAAAATGATGCAAGTTTACCCAAAGTGTCAGATCTTCCTAAGATACCAAAGAAAACAAGAATTCAAATGATAACAATGCAGCAAAAAAAAGCAGTGAAGAAGAATTAGAAATTAAAAATAAATCAAAGAGAAATTCAAAGGAGAAGAACGATTCAAAAGAGAAAAACAGTTCTTCAGGAAAACTGATCAATAATGATTCTACTGAAAAGAGACTTAGTGCTGGTATGTCTAAAATGAAAATAACTGTTGATCAGTTGATGGAAGTTGATACCGTTACTAGCAAGGTAATTGATAATAAACAACTCAAAGGTATTTCAAGTGGTGGAAAGTCAATCATAGAAACATCAAACAAACAACAGGAATATTGAAATCATGTTTGAAGTCTGGCAAAAAACCTCGGCGTTCTATAAAAATTATTATGCGTCCTGAAATACATTATTTTGAAATTGAAGAAGGCAATAAACTTAATAGATGCAATGTCAAAGATCTGCCTCTGAACTGGCAAGAAAAGAAAAAATCTATGCCAGCCATTTGTTCGCAAACTGCTTCTATAAATAAAGTTGAAAATATTGATAATGTTATTGCTCTCATAACAACTTGGAATCCAACATGGCTTTATGAACAGAAAAATAATCCAGCACTTCCACCATTACTCAAAGATACACCGTATAAGCGATCCCCATTGTTACACTCATATAGTAGTTATTCTGATTATGAAAGGTAATTTTACAATATATTAAATACCTCATTGTTTATACAGTTATGAGTTATGTTAAAAATTAAAAACATTAATTTGTGATTCATTCTGTTTAGAACAATAATGCCTTTAATGATAGATGAACTGTGGGCAATAGTTTCTAAAGAATGGGATAATCGAGAATATCACCTGATGTTCGGAAAAATGCATATAATATTGGTATAGATCAAGCACTACCTTTTCCTGGAGAGTCAAAAAATACTAAAAGTCAAATTATGATGATACACTGCCATAGTAAGATACCCAAAATATTTTATGTATTTTTACGATTTATACTATTAACTGTTTGTTTATTATGTATTTTTACAAAGTACTATTGACCCTTTTGCGCCCGGTACCGATTTAAAAACAATTTACCAGCAACTCGGCGCCCCATTCTGATGAAAACGTATCTGCTATAAATTTGGCATTATTGTATAAGTTATGCAATTTGTTTCATATGAATTTGTGGTCATTCAAGAACATATATTTACAGCAACATCTAAATTTATTTTATGCAGCATGTTAAACTTGAAAGCAATTTCCAAAAGTAATAGCAGGTTGCTTCTCATGTTGATATTAATCACTGTCGTGACATGTCTCTCTTCCAACTTTTAATGAATTTACAAATCGCTCTGTTGATTGTAGTAAAACTTATTTTCTACTGTACAAGATGTCATTTGAGTAAAAATAAATACATTATATAACAATTTTGAATAATGTTTATAAGTAATATGGTAACACTCGTGATGCACACATTTATTAGTGTCAACCAAATTATATATTTATAATAGCATTAAAAATATGTATAATATTTAAAAACAATAATGTATTAAAGTCATATTTCAAATATGATATGATCGGTTCGTCATTGTAATTAGCATTTAGAAATGAACCTTCATTAGAGAAATGAAGTAATTGCTGGTTAATAAATTCTATAATATTCATTCACATAATGGATTATGTTGAACAACGTCTAAACAAATAATGTTTTCTGTAATGTATGTAATTGTGCTTGAACAACTTCATGTAATTAAAATTAACATACATTCATTGACTGCTTGTATTTTTTTTAACTTTTTTGCTGGCGATATAATCTCAATCTTAGAGAAGACAACCTAGTTATATGCCAAACTTAAATTCCTCCAAAAGTGAACGCAAAGGGCGCAAAGGGTTATCTTCTTCATTCAATTATTATCATATCATAACTGTAGCTTTCTGAAATTTTAGTGTTATAAGTAAAACGGATTACGAAAAAAGTAATCATCCTAGAGAAGGTGACTATATAGTTATGGGCCTCGTTCAAAATCCTGGATCAAGCACCTCTCAATCTTCTAGTGAAAAGAATACAACTAATATTCGAAAAAGATTTGCATTTGTGAATATTGCGAAAAAAGTAATTGCAAGAGATCAGGATGTAAATGAAAGCCTATGTAAGGTTTATTTTCAAATAATGTATTAATGATTAATAAAAATAAAAATATTTTATTTCAGTGAAATTTTACTAAAAACCGTATGGAATCTTATATTTGGAGTTTAAAACTAAAAACAAACCATTAGATTTAAATTATAAAGAGCCAATGATTGCTTATATTGTCTCATACATAAATCCAATAATTCGGAATTTTAAAGCTATATTGGCATTGCCTAACTCAAATTATGTCAAAATGTACTTAATCCTAAAATTGAACAGTATACAAGCATAAAGAGATACAAACAATGGTGTTAATATGGTGAGTATATTTTCAAGCTTGTTTATCAAGAAGCCTTCAATTGTTGTTTATTATAATCAACGATAATGTTAATACCTATTATACTATATTTTTTCCAACAATAATATTATTAGGTGCGCAACTAAGTTCTCGGTGTTTGTCAGTATATAGCTCTAGCTAGTCGATTTTGACTAACCCAAAACGTCTTGAACCAAGCTTTTGCATTATATACTTCTGGTTAAGTGAAATGTCTAATTTCATGCCAAACAATCGTCATTTGCGGAGAGTGTTGATTTTCGTCTTCCATTCGAAAAAACGGCGGCTCAAGAGCATCGAGAGCTACGGTA